CGTACGTACGTACGTACGTACGTACGTACGTACGTACGTACGTACGTACGTACGTACGTACGTACGTACGTAACGTAACGAAGAAGAAGAGAGAGAGAGAGAGAGAGAGAGAGAGTGAGAGAGTTATACAAATATCTTAATTTCAAATCATCCCTCACTTGATAAATTGATTTTTCTAAAAAAAAATTTCATTTTGCTTAGTAAAATTATATATATTTTTTATCAATATGAGAATTTTTTCTATATTATATGACAAAAATATCTTAAAAAAAAAATCCTATGCTATTTTCATGCATAGGACCATAGTATTCGAATATTACTTTATAAAAAGTTGTTTCAATTTGTTTTTGTAAAATAAATATATGTAATAAGATATTATACAGTTAGCCTAAGTACTTTTATTTTTATTTTTTAATTTTTTGGGAGTTTTTTACCCTTTTTTTTTTTTAAAAAAAAAATCTACTTGACCGGTTAGTCCGGTTCAAACCGCTCCCAGTCCCATATCCAGTTAACCGTTCTGTTTCGATTTTGTCAACACTAGTCCTTATACACTGTTTTTTTGTCAAACCGTTTTATTTTGAATGGGGAGCTAAGATTGCCCCAATCACAATGTCACGTCTCTACACTATTTTATTTTTAATTTTTTATATAAAATATTTTGACACCAACTATTGGGAGTCCAATCCTCTGTTAAACTCGTACTTGTAAAAGATATAAGAAAATATTATCAATAAAATAAAATGATCAAAATACCCTTGAGTTTTAAGTGGTATTTTGATCGTTTTATTTTTTTGAAAAATTATTTTTAATATTTTTTTGCAGGTGTGCCCCAATGAGAAGATGACACATATACAATTTAAATAAAAAATAAAATATTATGAGGCGTCATATCCATAAAATAAATCGGTGAGTGGCTCACTTGATCAAAATTGGAAGGCTGGATGGTATGGGAAGTATAGATCATCTATGTTGTAGGAAAAGTATAAAACCTTTCTTTTTTTAGAAACTAATTGCATTCGGGCCATAATTCAAGTAATTTATTATTGCTGTTTGGATGGCTTGACTCTATGTCCTTTGTTATAGGGTGTACATACGCATGGATCTACTTTGAAAGGGATGTATGCATTTCTTGTTTAAGGGAAACGTTTATGTGTAAGGACCACAATTCTCTCAACTGGGGCACTCACGGCAGCAGGGAAAAGTGACAACACACACGACGCTAAATGAGAGTTTGGCCGTAGCGCCGTCTGTGATGAAGGGGCAGAGGAGAGAAAAGGCAGGCAAACACTGTGCGTGAATGATGCCAACATCGAGAGCGAATTTGGGGAGCATCGTTTGCGTATTGCCGTCTGTGGAAAGAGGCTTAGCGTCGTGGGTATAACGAGAGAGAGAAGAAACAGGAGCATCGTCGTCCGGAGCATCGCCGTCTGGAGCATCGCCTTCTGGAGCATCACTGTCTAGAGCATCGTTGTGAGCGTATCGCCGTCTGGAACATCGTCGCATGTGGAGACAACAAGTGGGCAACGCTGTGCGCGTTTAATCAAAGTGTACGGATGTGTCAGCGCCATGCCTACCTATCAGCGCTACGCCGTACCTGTCAGCGTGTGTCGTACCAGTCAGTGCCACGCAGAGTGACAGCAGCCACAATGTTTTCCCAACCACCCTCCCATTTTAGCCCTCTTCTCCATGGAAAACACCGTCTCTACCCCCCCTTTTATCGACTCTCTCTCTCTCTCTCCTTCTCTTGAGAACATACTGCCGCCACCTTGGAGACAGCCATTGGTGAGGCTAAAGGGAGTTAGGGGGGGTTGTAACCAGAAATTGAAAGCGCCGTGCATGAGATCAGTTAAGTGGATTTAGTGCTATGCCTCCCTCAAATTAAAATGGACTAATTGGGTATGAATGATAGGAAAATGGTAGATTAAGATACATGAATGTAGAATGGATGAAAATGATGTTGCATGAGCGTTTAAACATTACCAATGACCTTGGAAAATTATAGAGTAGTTTCCTTGCCAAACTTACTAAATTTGCTTGACATGAATAAGGCTTGTGTGAGATTTTAATTTGACTTGTGCCAGGGTGTGTATGATTTTAATGGCACGTTAATAATAGTGAAAAAGAAGTTTCCCAGCAGCTGTACTTGCACCTTTCGGTGTCCAAATGGTGCCCAAATGGGCCTAAATCAGTCTTGAATAAAGATATGCGTGTCTAATTCATTTTTTTCTTCTTATGCCATTCTTACATCTTATATGGATTGGAAGATGTACCCCAAAATATCAGGGTGTGTCACTGTCCACAGTTGTTGTGGTTCGAGCCACTGGCACCCTTTTACACCACGCATTTGACCCAGCAAACGGTGTCTAAAATTTTTCAAATTGCCACCACGAATTTTTTGTTATGCCCCAAAATGCGTGGGCACGTCACCGATCACTATTGCAGGAAATTTTCCAGCAACTATTGCTCACCATGTACCCATCTTTTGACCTATCAAATAATGTCTAAATCCCTTCAAATCACCGCCAATTTGAAGATCCGTGAATAAATTTGAAGTTATATGTTTGAGGCATTTTGAAACTCTCCCTAGATTGAGAATTACGCCCCCAAGAAAAGGGGTATATCTTTGTTGCCAGTCATAGCGT